GAACTGTGAAAGATCAGGGTTGGAAAATGTGTTAAATTTTTGTAAAGATTATTATTATTGTTATTATTATTATTGCCTATTTTTTAGACTTGCAGTGGAAGCAAAACTTTTGCTTTATGAAATAATTTATAAAGTTTTATGACTACATAATACTATAATACCGACTTTGCTTTTTTTGTTGGACCGTTTGTAAACTTAACATAAAATTAAGTGGAGAAAGTTCAATGACTTTCTTAGACTTCTCTTTTTATAAACCATCATTAATTAACCTACATTTGATTGACAAAAGTTCAACAACTTTGTTTCATGCTTTGTTTAATTGACTCACTTTAATCTTGAATTTGTTCCAATTTCATTAGCTTTCTTCTACTGTATCTTCTTATTCCACATTTGACTGCATGCCTTTACCTATACAAGGTTATTTATGATGATTGCTAGGAGTGTTTATGGTCGATCTATTAATCAAACTGTTAAGCTTATTATCATTCTCGTGTTTCTTTATGTTTGTCCCATATAAAATATTATATTTAAAGAGAGAATCTATGTTATCATTATTATTCATCGATATATATAGTTGTTAAATATGCTTATGAGAGATATGGAATTTTAAAATATTAATTTTAAATTAATATATTGCGTAATTAAGATAATATTACCTGTTGATATTATGGAACCGTAAAAAGTCAAATGGGATATGCATTATAACACGATGTGATGGAGTAACAATTTCAATTATTAATCGTTATAATGATTAAGAAAATTTTATATTTGTAAAGAGGTAACCTAATCATTATTATAGGTGGAATATGTTTATTAGATGGGAATTAATATATTATTATGTGCATATTACAAACTATCTTATGATGAACCTATGAACCTGTTTAATTTCGTCTTTTTAGTTCTTTTTTTTTTTTTTTTTTTTTTTTTTTTTTTGTTTATTGTATAGGAGTAGTGGAAATGCTGTTAAGAGAGAAGTGGTCCAACAAAGTAGTGCATGAAAGGGGAACAAGGAATTGAAAATTTTACTTGTATTTACCAAGGTAGAAATAAATAAACAAGAAAAAAATGTGAGGTTATACCAAAATTTTCTCACTCTAATAACTTCAGTTATCAATGACTTTAATAAAAATTATCGGTATCAACTCTATTCAGTTGTACTTCGTATTTTAGATGGTGGCATTTTTAATATCGACACAAAATTCCGTTAATACCAACAAAACTTCAATTCTTTGTGGTGTGTTAGGGCTAAGGAACAAGTATATATTCATATCATTACAATATAATATAATCTAAGCAAGATTTAATTGTAACGGACATCTTTAGTCATTGAAAACTCAAATTATTAGAGGCTTATAATTTCTCCAAACTTGAGCTTATGGATCATATATTCATACTCACACAGTCACATTTATTAACTTTTTCCCCACTTTAGGGTGTTTACTACTAAAACTGAGCTAAATTAACCTGTATGAGGATTCATTATATTCTCAAATCGGTAAAATCCTTCTTCTTACCTACTAAAAAAACATACAAGTATTTGATTTATATATTATCATTTCCTATTCCTTTATCTATCCCATTCTCTTTGTTAGTATAATTTCTTTTGTTGACTACAAAAATGATCATATGTTGAGTTATTGCTTAATAATTAAAAGACTTGACACAAATGTGTCCATGTGGTTTACGTATCTTATCATTACTTATTTGAGATAAAAATTAAGATCATATGTACCTCCATTAATTTTTAATAGCAACAAAAGGGTATTATTTATAAAATATAACAAAATTCCTTTATAGTAACTAAAAAATAACAGAGATAGTATATTATTTAGATACAATAAGTTACTCTACAACTATTCAAAACATAAGCTATGTTACTGTGATTTGTAGTTCAAATAATTAAATATTACTCCCTCCATCCTTTTATTAGAGTTTCATTTTAACATTATTTATTACTCACGTAATAAAGAGAAATGAGATTCTAATAAAAAGACAGAGGAAGTAACTTCTATTCGTATTATACATGAGATATTATACTACTCAAGTCATAAAAACAAAGTATTATTACAACGTGACAATTAATTTCGGACAATCCAAATTGCAAACATAACCAACTAAAAGAAAGCCTGGTCCAATATAAGGCAGTTTCAGATGTTATGATGTAGAGTGGAGCACAGTTACCTAATAACAAAAACGGCAAAAGGGATGTGGAAAACAAAGCAATTGGAAAAAAAATTCACTCATTTCAATTCCATCATCAAAAAAGATGGGCATGTCATGGCATCAATCCTACAGTTTAACTGCATGCCTTATGTCCCCTTGTGTTTCAGAGCCATACTCTTTGTTTGGCCCTAATTTTTTATTTTTTTATGGGTTTTTTCAACTTTTATTTTAATTTTAATTTATGTACCAATAACCAATTCTCTCTGTCTTTTGTCTAGTGCTCTTCTAGCACGCGTGGGATTATATCATCATTTCATTTTTTGACATTTTTTGTACATGAATTTATTTATTGTAATTTTTCATCCTTTTGTATTTTTATTTTTTAGGGCAATTATGGATAATTTAACCTAGCTTTAGGCTCAAACAAACATGCATTTCCTAATTTGTTATTACTTCTTGTTCTTGTTTTAAATTATTGGTTCTTTTAGCCTTTTCATAAAAGGAATTTTGAAATTATTGTGTCACTTAGAACAAAGGTACATGAGAAATATAAAAATAACAAAACAAAAGAGAGGTTGTATAAAATAAAGGCATGTTGTTCTTCTTAATGTAAGGCGTGTTTATCACTTCAAGCTAGTCAAATGACCCTCAAATTTTGGGATTGAAACCATTAATCTTATACATTCTCCATGTCGTATCTATTTGAAAGTCTAGCACCTCCAAAACTAATTAGTTATGTATTAGTAGTATATAATAAGCAATTTACGTATAAAGACTATGAGTTGGTTTAGTGGAAATTATTGCATTATAATCTTAAAACTGTAATAATTTTATATCAATTGTTATTAAAGACACTTTGGAGGTGGAAATTCCCTTGCCTCCATTGTTAAGAGACCTTGCCCACATCCCGGTGATTAATGCAATAGTTCACGTTCAGCAATACGCCTTATCTCTCACCTAGATAATGTATAATGAATTAATAAATTGATAAGTAAGATCCTGTTCTTTTGTGCTGTTCTTATCTGCTGAAATCTACTCTGTTCAGCTCTGTCTAGAAGCTCAAAAAAATAAGGCCTAATTGCATCTATGAAAAATAAAGGTAAAAATATAAGACCACTAAATCCTCTAGTAAGAATCTACCATACAATCAATTGATGATATGAAAAAATGTCATCAATCTAGGTCATATTGTGGAGTATCATTTTACAAATCAAACCAATATAATTTTAATTTAATTTATTTTTTTAATCAAAGGAAGAAAAAACTTTAGGTGCCCCTTCGCAAAAGGGGGGTAAGTCAAATTATTTTTATTCCACTTACAAAGAGAACAAAAGGAGGAGGAGCAAAGTCATACAATGTCACCCGACTAGAGGTTAAAAGGGGGTAGATTTTAGTGTTACAAATAAATACTAGTTTGACAGCAACTTTTTGGTGCAACAGGTCACATCATACAACTTTCTTGATTTACTCGGGCAGGAATTACTTAAGGGATTTGAACAGGGGTTACTCGAGGGGTTCACTCGGTCAGGGGTTCAGGGTTACTCAGTCATGGGTTACTCGAGTTTCTCGGTCAGGCCGCATACAAAAAATTGTGACTCGAGTAACCCCTAACCGAGAAACTCGAGTAACCCCTGACCGAAAAACTCGAATAACCCCTGACCAAGAAACTCAAGTAATCTCGGAAAACTCAAGTAACCCTTGACTAAGAAAGTCAAGTAACCCCGAAAACTCAAGTAACCTTTAACCAAGAAACTTAAGTAACCCTTGCCGCACGGTATAACAGGCCGCATGTAAAAATTTGTGCTAGTTTGAATATTAAAAAACATAAGGTATTTTTTGTACGATGCAAGCAACTATAAGTTGACAAATTCTACTCACTACCTTTGAAAGGCTAATATGATTAATGTTTGAGAAACTGAAACACTACCAAATGCTATTTCTAGGCAAGTTCGGCAAACTTAGTTGTTGCAGTAGCTGTTAATTATATTAGTAGATGTTGGATGTTAACGAGTATATATTACTATATTAGATAACTATTGAAGTAGTTATTTTGAGATTGGTGAAAGTGTACGACAAAAACTAGTTGTTTGAAATTATACAATACTGATTTCAATAATTAATATAATAAAGGAAATATAATTACATTTGACAAACACTATTTCAAACCTAAAAAAACCATCTAAAAAACCCAAAGCTTGTTTGGTGGAGATGGTAGACACTTTGTCAAGTCACAACTTCAAGCACCACCATGTACATATGTTTGGGAGTGGGAGAATTCTCTCACCTTTCCATCTTCTCTCATGTTTTTCAACTAGTATTTTAGCTATAATACTAAATTTGTAGCCGAACATACCTTATACTAATTTTACTAATTTTTAACCTAGTTAAAGTGTTAATTGTTTCTTAAAACGCTATCGCTGAACAAAATGGTTGCCTAAAATTATTTTGATCAGAAGGGAGCAATTCTTATACAAGTAAAATCTTCACTGTCACTATTAATGTCAAATTTCTGTTATAATAAACTTGCGGCATTCTATGTCTATACCCTACAAAAACAGGTGAGAAAAATCCTACTGAAACTGCGCATATTGCAAAACTGGAACTTCCTCGCACAAAATTCAGAATATTGAAGACCAACCACCAAGAGAGAAGACTCAAGAGACCATGTTTCAACAAACATCATAAAAAGCTAGTTATGGTCTAAAACCTGTAATAAATATATAATCCCATTCGTAAACCAATACATAGAGCTAATTGTGTCAAAACTCGAAAAATCAAAGAATCAAATTACATCCGAAAAAGGAGAAAATCAAAGATCAAAGGGTGATAGAAGACTATTGTACAAGTAAAAACACAGTAAATATAACTGCAATTCTATAAATTTCAAAAATTACTGCATTTGCAAGATTTTATACAAGCACTTTAATTACACACCAACTTTACAAGGATTCTTGATTTCTTGTTCAATGATATCAAGAGACTAAGCACGTACACAATGCCACCAACCTCTACATTTCGTTTTTCAAAGGTATAAAAAAATAAACTGTGAACTGAAAAAAATGCCAGCCATAACATTTAAACTAAACAAGAGAAAGGTTGAAAATTGTATTGTTTACCATGCAGTATAGCAGGAGAAAGTCCATTATGTAGAATTCTCTGATTCGGCATCATGTTTGTGATTGGCAACTTGTGATGAAGGTGAATGATGTTCCATCTCTTTGCGAGATGTTTCCCACAGTTGTTGTTCTAATCCAAGTTTCCTTAACTCAATCAAACCACGTTCAACTGACACACAAGTATTCACGTCAAGACACTTTCAAAAGTTTTGGGTAAAAAGATAATAAGATATTCCAAAAAGAGTGGCAAATTTGAGACAAACTGTTTTTAACAATATTATCTAACCTAAAATGCATACAATTGACCACTAGTGTTATATGAAGAGTGCAAAGCCAAGCTAATAATAAATTAACTACATGTTCAAAATTATACGATATGTTGCTAAAGAGCATCAATAAATAACATACAATGTTGTCCATATCAGAATATATCTCAAGCACCTTCACATCATCATAAAACACTCTTTATTAGAACTTTTTCAAAATATCGATTTGCATTACAATCCTCAATTGTTTTCATGGAATACAGATCCAAAAACCCTAACTGGAATGACCAATTAAGCAAATGTAAATATATTACCAACCCACCATCAGTTTAATAATCATCAAATGGATCCAACTTTTAGATTTATGCTCAATTTGAGCAAGGCACGACTGATTAGACACAGTTAGCATGGCTTGGAGCCCACTTTTGCACTTTCATGTAAATGAGGACAATCATACTGATAATTAACACATACAAAGTTTTAGTTAAAAAGCAATGGGATACAGTGACTACAGTTAGGAAACAAGCTTCTACATAATTGTGACCAGAACTTGCCTTCCTTGGCAAAAACACCTTAATAGATCAAAAGTACCACTATTCACTATAAATCTGGATCAAAATGATCTTCAATGCAATATGACCACAGTAAATACATTTAGAAGATTGGTATAAGAGCAAATACCATCGACTGCATCCTGCAACGCTGGAGACTGACCGCTGCGGCTGGTCCATAATTGAAGTCTCTCTTCAGCAATGTCCTCCTCAACCTGGTGATCTCTTGCTCTTTTCCAGAAATACGTCATCCAGGCCTAGGGTTATAAAATAAATATGAAACCTTTTCAAGTCCCGAATCAATATCCAACTATAACTTACATTTACATGAGGCGGAAAGGGGGAATTGATTACCTCCCTGTTCTACCTATCCTCTCATCAGCATACGTAAAAAAAAGCCAATTAGTGCATTTTGTGCTTTATATAGTAACTATACTTGGACGAGCAAAGAAATTCTGACTTTCATTTACAAGACAGTCTCAGCTCGTTTCGTTATCCTGTCATCCTTATAGCTAGAGGTGGGAATTTGGTTGTTTGGATCGAGTCTATTTGGGTTGGGTCAATTTTGGGTAAGACACATTCAGATTGATTTCAGGTTCTAACCAGTTCATGACTGGTCCGGTCAGGTCATATTCAGTTCTTTTGCCAATATGCTTATTTATAATAGAATAATCATTACTAGGAAACATTGATTGTCGGTTTGATTGGGGTTGGGCAGAGTTGGATAAAATCAGGACAGAATCGGTTCAAGTGACTTGAGTAGAGTTCAGGTATTTCAGGTTGGGTAATCAGGTATAGAGCGGTTTTAATAGGTCTTGCTGTCTTGTTCCATAGATCCATGGCTTGTATGAGTAAAAAACATGGAGTTCCAACTCAATGCTAAACAGGCCCCAAACAATTTTACAATTAAGACCATCTTCCAATTCTAAAAGTTTCAGCCACAGTATTTTCTAGGCAATAGTTAGCCTTTAATTAAAGAACTATAGCAAGTTCTTTGTGATGCAGCACCTGTTTCTTGCTTATTTTACCCCCAACCCTACAGCTTATTCACCACCACACCTGCAGCATGATCAGTGTCACTGTATAGTAATTTAGTAGCAATAATACCTTGGCATCATTTAGTGAATCCTCGTTCCACAATGTTAGAGCCTTCTAGGCCATATTATAGAAGACAGACCAACTAATCCTCCCATGAAGGCCCATTATAAAACTTAGCAACCTTTTGTCACATTGGTATAACTTTAACTAGTTATAGCATTGATTTGCAAACGACAACTATTTACTATCTTAAACTTGCCAAAACTAGCAGATAACCGGCCCCATCTTCAAGAGCCAAGAATAAAGGTTTAAAAATTGTAAAACCAACATAAGGAAAAATTTCAAGTTCTTTCTTTCCTTTTCCTGCTACTTATTCTCTCTTTTTATCCTACACTGTCTTAAAGCAAACAGCTCTGGAAAAGGGAATTCATATTCACATTCTTCAATTCTCAAGTCAACAATAACAATCCCTACCTTCCCAACTATCTCTCATTCTTTACTCCAGCTCCCACAAATCAAATTACATAGCCATGGTCATCTAGGCAATCTATAATTCACAGTAGTCAAGCTGAAATTAAATTCAAACACATGGCAAGGTTCGATACCATTAACCCATATCTGAAAGGGAAGTGAAATGATAGAGATGAAGTGGCCCAAGTTGAATAAAGTAAAAAGTTCCACTGAATAAGGGGAGGGGATAGCAGGACAAAGTTTCCATAACAATTATCCACCCACTGTATTGCAAAATATGCTTGGAGGTTGTAACATCAGGTTGCAATTGGACATAAGGTCATTATCAATTAAATTACAATTTTAGGTACACATAAAGTTCACGGTGTTTTTTTTTTTTTTTTTTTTGTATAATAGCCTTGAGTACCAGTCTAAAACGACACTACTCAATATTGTATCATATAGTGCTATATTGAAGCATACCTCCTTGAAAAGCACATCATCTGTTTCCTCTTGACTCAATTCTGCAGTAACACAATTTTGGTAAAGTACATTAACACCAAGATATTAGATATTAAACAGTTTAAAAGTTAATTCACCACAATATAAACATGCACTATGCATAAACCAGAAATACTCAGGCTCAGATACATAAGTTTCCCGCAAAATAGGAAAGATATATAATATATTGACTTCTTTAACTCTTTGAGGGAATTTTCTTCTCATGTCTTAGTTACCTACACTGACTGTGAACAACAAAGGGTATGCAACAGAAGTTTTGACCTGTAAACCGACCAGATCATATAGATAACATCATTCAACTAACAATTGTTCCCCAGATTTTAAAGCAGTAAGATACAGCTTGTGTACCCATAATGTCTACAATAAACAGACGTTAAATGAAATATAAACAATTTATACCCATAATGTCTACAATAAACAAACATTAAATGCGATATAAACAATTTATACCCATAATGCCTACAATAAACAACATTGAATGCGATATAAACGATTTATATGAAGTCCATTACCAAATGACTCCATAAACTTGGGATCACCAGCCACTTTGAAATCTGGAAAATAAACATTAAATGAGGGAAGGTAAATGTGGGCTCTAAATCATCATAGTGATAAAATAAGGAACAAGAAAAACAGATTTAAGTTAGAAAAGCTTAAAGCTTATAGACATATCAGCCCAAAATAAGTCAAATAAGCAATACAATTTTACATTTGCATCTTAAACAATTCTCCATTCTTCATATTAATTGCTACAACCACCAAAAACAAACAAAAAGAAAGAAAATAGAGGAACGCTTCAAGTTGAAACTTAAGGTTTTTGCTGCTAGCCAATACAAGATACTAGCAGTTCTACAAATCTACAGAAAAGTATCGAGCAAACCTCGGACTAAATTTGGGCGTCTTTTTTGTGCCATTGCCAATGCAACTGCATCCTCTATCTGAAATGAGATGTAAATTTTGTAAAGGTCTAATAAAGAGAATTGCGAAAACCGACAATCTATTAAGCACGAATAACTTGACAAGTTGACATTGAAGAATAACCTTTAAGGAAGCCATTTCCCTTAAATCCATTTCTACTGAAAGCATAGTTTCAATGTTTCCCTCCCCAGTAAGATCACTGGTCTCTCTGCCAGACTTGCTCCCTTTACTTGAATCACTCTCACCTGCAACAAATAATGAGCTAAAACATTTGTTCGCTTAAAATTACAAACATATTTAATAGAAAAGAGAACTATCAACTAACCTCTATTCACAAAATCCTCCTTAGCCTTCTGTCCTGCAGATATGACAACTTCAAATGGAAGAGGAGCAAATCTAGACCAATGTTCATACTTGGACCCAGCTATATCGGCACAAATGCCTGCATGTAGCAACAAATAAAGAGATGTATCAGCACTAGATGCATAAGAATATCTTATTATTCAGCAACCACCAATCTTTCCAGAATAGTGATTCTTTAAACAGACGAAAGCGATTGCTGGCACAAAATTTTTGTACACAGCATTCTGCAACCTTTTCACAGAAAACCAACAGAAAAATGAATTCAAAAGCAGCCATAAGTGCAATTGTAAGCCTGAATTGCCCCCATGCTTCTAACAATATTAACTTATTAAGCTACTATCTCTTTATATAGAGGACACAAGAGGAATCATACCATACTGCACAGCCAAGCCCCAGTAACGAGCAAGCCAGCACCTTTTAAGAACAACTTCCTCCTACATGTCAGAGGAAGTTTGTCAGTTTCTATTCATCCTGTAAACATGTAATCAGCATAGATTTAAATGGTAAATTACAAACCATCTCTTCCTGGGTCAAAACCATTCTCTTAGTCATGGTACGCATCGCTTTTGCCTCAGACTCAGCTTCTTCAAGCTTTTCCATTGTTGCAGCAGCCTCCATTCTTAGGTTCTAACAACATCAACGATGATGATGATGATGATAATTTATTATAATACAAGTATAGCTCACACAAGCACTATACTTTAGAAAGTCCATTGCAAACTTTGCTAAGTAGATTTTACCTCAATTTCTGAATGCAAAGTCTCCATTTCTGCTTTGCCTTCCCTGCGTTGTTTTGCAGCTGCAAGGGCAGCCTACCAAACAGTTGAAGCTCAACTTATCAGAAAACTTCCTAAACAGATTTTTTTTTTTTATCAAACTAGTAGCAGATGTGCCAAGGAATGTATGTATTCAGTGGTAAAGCCTTAAAATTTATCTTTGAAAGTGCCATGAAGTGTGCATGTCTAACTAAAAGTTTTAGGAGCTTCCGCAGCCTTATGTGAGTCTCGCAAGAAATAGAAAGCAGAGAACCCTCAGAGTTTTAGCATCCATGGTTATTTTGCAATGCTTTCCCAGCCTAATAGCCTACCATTTATCATGACCCCAAGGCTTTTATAAAAATATCCATATGAGATGTATAAGTAGTTAGCACTCTTTTCTGTAAAATCCATTATTTATGCAAATTAATAAGGTTGCTTTCAATGTTATTAAAAACAAAATACAAGAATTTCAAGCCCTGCTTCAATGGCAAATTTTGGTAAGTGAGAAAACTAAAATATTAACACGATAAGAGCCTATACACACCTCTCTTTGACGTAGTGCTGCTTCCTTCCTGTAAAGAATCACAATGAGTTCATGCAACACAATCATTGTAGCTGAGAGGTTAATATCAGGAATAAAGTTACCTGCTCAACATTTTAGCTTCCAGAGATAAACCTTCTCCCATCGATGCAACCTGTCAGTAGTCAGTACGAAAAATTTAAGATGTTATCGGACACGTAATCTCATTCAAAACATGTTAATATATACTTCATGAACAAGCTAAAATCTAAAGCACAAAAGTCTAAATACATAAAGATAGAAGCAAACATATAAACTTCACAAAACATCAAGATAGAAATTCCCAATAAGAGATGGAATTATTGCATTTGCAGCTGTGATGTTGAACAATATTAGTTATTTATGATGATATTTGCCCAAGTGATACCCAAGATAGGAATATATTCCCACAGGTTAGATTTACATACTTACACTTTAAACAACTTATAGGGTGTAGAAATCAAGTTCAGTGAAGACTACATTTTTAGACTCCATCTTGTCAAAGTAAGAGCTGCAAACAGAAGAATTATACCTAGCCAAGGATACAGACCTGTCTTTCAAGTTCTCTTGCTCTGGCCTCGGATTCTTCACGTTTTCTCTCGGCTTCTCGAAGCTGTAATAGGTATAAAGATTCTTACATTCGAGACCAACCTAAGGCACTTAACTATTTTCTTTCAAAGGGCAGGATATATACCTGTTCAAGAACATTTTCATTCTCTTGTTGTAGCATATCCAACTGCAGTAAGAGAACATATCATCTTAGAGAGCATGTTTATGCCATTACACTTCATAACAGTTATGGATACTGCACATGTCAATTGTCAATAGACTAATAAAAGAGCTTAATGAAACATCATTGCAAGTTTCACATACTTCATCGAGAAGAGCAGCATCCTCTGGTCCGCTTCCTGAATCTCTCAATTTGAGATGACCAAAATCTGGAAACCTAGTTATTTCACAGACAATTTTTTTAGCAATCTTTTTGGGGGGAAATTATAAAGCAGACAATTTAACGTCTTTTCTACAAACAAGGTAGGGAGCAACCACTACCATGCAGTATCATATACCACTTATAATGGGATCTAGGAGGTCTATATATGCACAGTTGTACCAGCTACTCCAATAGGCCAAAATATAAGGTTTAAAATTTTAAAAAACATACAGAGAGAGGATAATAAAGAGACAAACAATAGGCTTATAAACTAGGTAGCACTGAAACAGCCCATTTTGGAAATGGGGAAGCTGTGATTCTACAATTTAATAGATATTTATAAAATTGTACGTATTTTATTATTTCCTACAAATATAAATTTGATAATTGAAATTTTATTTTTATCAAAAAGTTTTTTTTTTCAATTTATTTTTTTTAACAATATTTTTCTACAAACTTATTAGAACAAGTATGAGGCTATTAGCAAACAAATACCCTTTCAAACAAAAAAAAAAGAAAATAGTGAAGCTAGTTAAAAAAAAAAATTAAGCCAAGTAAATAACAAGAAGCCCACTTTATTTATGACATCCCAATATATCTCCTTGATAAACGAATGCGGCAAATCAAGTGGCATAAGTGTATTATCTGGTGAGTTGCCAAACATTGATCATTGATACTTGGTTGTTAATTTTATTCAAAAATGCCAAGAAAGGAGAAAGTAGTGGGCCTCACATAGTCACATGTATGAGTAGTTTGTTGATTTCATTACAAAAATGCCACTTTGTTAGTACTCCATGCTTATCAGGGAAATAAACTTGGAATTTCCCCACATTATCAGCCCATGATATGCATCCCACTACGTCACAAATATTAATACAAATTTCATGTACAGCCGCAAAAAGGGAGACACATATAGCTCATAAGCAGTGTGTAATAAGGCAGCAATTAGGGTACAGCGCTTTTTTATGGCTCCAGGCGAGGTGCATTCAAAGAGGTGCACCTCAGTATATTTATGTTGTATGCCTCAATTCAAAGAGGTGCACCTAGGCGCAACAGGACATTATCACTCTATGAGCCTTGAGCCATTTTATACATTGCTCATGAGCAAGGAGACAACCACAAGAAGACAAAGAAGGTGGAAATTGACACGCCAGGAAACCTTTTCAGCACACATATCAAAAAAAAAAAAAAAAAACATAAATTTTGGCAGGCTGAAGGGGCAATGGAAACGTTTCCAAATTTACTGAACCCAGATCTGAAAGATTTCGGTCGCATATCTCGGCGTTTCTGGCTGTTTTTCATATCTGAAATGGCGAAAATTTACTCTCCACTCCTCAGCCACTTCCGTGCTTCATAGCTCATAAACGAGTCACTGTTTTGGAATGAATTCAAGAAAATTGGGACAGTGGTCATATTGGCAATGATGACTTCCAACTTTTGCTTCCCATGTACACACATTCTATAGGTTGAGAAAATGCTAGAATAAAATCTATAACTAATACAAGAATGCCTTATGGAAACTGAAACCAATATGCATCAAACTCAAAAACAGGTTGTTTGGCCTCTATATTTTGAATTTGTCTCTAGGTTAAAGTCTTATCTTTCAGGCAGCTTATAAGTATGAGGCAGAATAAATGTTTCATACCTGCTTTCACAGGTGAAAGGTTAGAATTGAAGTATTAGGGAAAGTGGAAATGCCATGACTAAAACTTTAAGAGACAATTGGCAAGAATGAGAGCTCCAAACTTTCTACCCACCAATTTATAACCTCCACATCCATCATCAATAAATGACCATCAATACCAACATGCAGAAATGGTATGGGAAGCGGGAAGGCCATTCCACAATTCTGGTGCACCAAATACAGGACCATTTTTTTTTACACTCTTTACTTAGGCAGACGCAGAAAAGATTAATCCACCGTCCCCTTGACCAAGAAAAAAGAGTGCTAGGACTTAGGAAGCATTTTCTTGAGGAGAGGGGGTCAGGTATATGTATAAGCCTTAAGTCAGGCTTCTTATCTCAAAAGAGAGTCCAACCCATCACAACAGCCAAATACCTTGAGAATTGGGGTGGAGGGAGATAGAGGAGGGGGGACCACAAGTTCACAACAGCCGAGTACGTAGAGAGTTGGGGTGGGGAGAGAAGGGGAGGGGGGGGGGCAGACAAGAGAATTCTACCTCAAGATGCCCCTAGTAAGACTTGATCCCATGAAGATCAAGTCTTACCAAAATTAACCAACCCAGAGGGAAAAAAATGACTCCGATAGTCAGCATGGTGACAGAAATCATTTTGTTCAAATGAGACAATGGCAATTTCAAACCCTTACATCTGAGACTTCAGTCATAACCTTTATTTGAAGTTAAAATACTTCTATTCCATGGCTTCCCTCTCTCTATGCAGCACTTCCACATCAGTCACCACCGCATTTTAAAGTCATCAAGGTACGTGATTGTTCTTATGAAATAAATAAGCCCAAAGCTTCATGTCCCATCCTATGACACACTAAGGGTTCATTTACTTCACAAAATTTTCATTCTTCTGAACTTACTAAAATTTACAAGACATTATTTTGAACTTAGTGAACTCTATTGTCTCAACTCTCAAAATAGGCTCCCTCTCTTAGGTAGCATAGGGGATTGAAAGGGAAAAGTATATAGCCTTAGCCCTACTAATAGAAACAAATTGCATCCTAAAACCCAAGATTTGAAATAAAATTGACTTCGCAAAATATACAATGAACAAGAAGTTTATTGAACCATTATTATTCCATCCACCATAAACAAAAGCAGGAAATATAGTTAATAATGACTTTCAAATCCACTAATTAACAATCAAAGAGTATATTGGAGTGATCAGCTAACCTTCTCCAACAATTGCAACCTAGCAATATAGACTATAGGTGATGTACGAAATAGATCCTCTATGTACATGTCATGAATTCTTGACACTAATTCAAAATTAAACAAATGACAGAACTGTCAGCACAAAGCTTCCTAGAAGATTCCTCATAAATTATTTTTAAAAAAATGTTGGGTATGTGCTCCTTGCTTCAAGAGCTTTTACATGGGGGCTTTCATTGTCAAATATTCAGCATGGCAGGGAAAATAATTTACAACTCTCAGGGCTTTTTAATATTATAGACTTCATACTTGATACTTTGTATATCATAAAAGACTGTTTGTCTGGGCCTTAGTATCACATATGGAGTACTAATCAAAGTAGATATTACTGTAAAACATTAAACATAAAGCTCTTTTACCTTTTGTCTGATGATCTTGTCTTGGAAGTGGGAAGTTCTACCGGTTGTATCGCAGCAGGGGTTTTAATCCCCACTTTAGAAGGTTGTGTCGCTGCAGGCTGTCGAGTTGGCCTTCCAGCTGACGTTGAACGTACAGAATGAGCGTTGTGATCGACATAGTTCCTACCTAACTAATTCAGCCATACAAAAACATCTAATCAGTCCCCTAATTAATTCAATCACCTCACAACAAACCACCTGCATTGAACCACATCTCAATTCACCACCACAGTTGGAAATATTATCACATAACTCTACATGATGTCAAATGCCTTCATACACTCTTCAACACTCAATTTCTTACTCCAATTCACTCAACTAAGAGCAATAAATAACTTAAGTAGCTTGTTCGAGCATTCTACTATATAACTCCAATTCTCAGATCCTAATTTCCAATCAAACAGGCAATTCAACTGATTAAAAACCACTACAGAAGTAAAACATAAAAACAACTACTCATACTCCAGCACAATTGGTAAAGTCTCCGCAACTATAACCATTACCTAGAATCAAATCCCGTCTACATCACTTGATTCATTTCCATTCCAACACTGACATAAAAATACAAAACACGGGTTCAATCAAAGCAAAATAAAGTTAAAACAACTCCTACTCATTAGCTCAGTTGAGTAAAGTCTCGGCGACAATAACCAATACCTAGAATCAAATCCCGTCTACATCACGAACATAAAAATACAAAACACGGGTTCGACCAAAGAAAAATAGAGTTACCGCAGGAGACGGAGCACGATTACTAGGCCGGGAAAACCCATTAGTAGAATTCTTCGAAGGCGGAACCAAAGACGGCGGAGGACCAAACCGTAACCCAAGATCAACATCACCGTCATCGTTATCATCATCATCATCGGTAGCAGTTTGAGTAGCCATAACCTGCGCTAATCGGCGAGCAGCGGCTTTAGCGGCAACATTCTGAGTTCGTTTAACAGTCGAGTAACCGCTTCCGAGGCGTGAGCTAGGGTGTGCCGGAGACATCGCCGGCGACAACGAGTCGGTGCTGCTTGAGTTTGTCGAGTTGCTGCTCCACTGTCGGGTGTACACCGGACTCAACGCTCGTCTCCGATCCATTACTTTCTCTCTCTAGAATGAATCGATCAATGGAGGATGAATTGAATTGAATTGAATTGAAGTTTACTGTGAAGAAATTGAGTTGAAATTGAGGTTTGAAATTGAATTGAAAATGGAGGAGAGAGGATTTAGGGTTGAGTGGAGAAGTAGATCTTTGGAAATTGCGGGAAAATCTGGAGGAGAGAGAAAGTGAGGGCGGCGTGGAGGAGAGAGAAAATTGCCGGAAGAAGAGAATTCCGGTGGAATTAGATGCGTGTGTTGTGTTTTTATAAAATGGGTGAAAATTAAAGTTTTAGATTTTTGGCCGAAGAACACGAGAACGAGCTTTGTGTGTATGTGTGTGTTGTGATTTGATGTGACGTGTATTGTGGCCAAAGACCATGTCGACTACTCCGTATTTTAGTTTGTATTTTTACTACGTTCTCACGAGGATAATTTTGTCAATCTGTACGAGCGCTGGATACTCCAATTGTGCAGAAAATCATGCGTGGACTTGGTTCACAATAATGTTATTGTAAATCTAAGTTTAATTCACACGTAATTGACATTATATTCAATAAATTGACTTTTATTTTTAGCATAGTACTTATTTTTAACATAGTAACCTTTTTTAAAAATCTGAGTGAGCATAATGTTATTATGAACTTAGAATAGACATTATGTTGAATAGTGACCTAATTTTAACATAGTGATCTTTATTATTCATATTATATTAAAATTTCATTAAAAAAATTAACCTTTTTTAGCTTTTATAATGTCATACTAACTTTTATTTCAACATAATAACCTTTATTTTAATATAGTGACCTATTTTTTTTTATTAATCTAATGTTAATGATCCACAATAAATTAATGTGAACCAAGTCCATTTAAAAATTTGTACCAATTGTGAAATCAAGAAACGAGAGAAAGAGTGTATTTGATAATATGTTCGATTTGACAAGGTAATGCTCAAATGTCTTTTATTTAGTTGATGACTCCTTTATATAGAGTAGTAGCTTTCGCTATAAATACTTTGGTGTTAACGAGGTTGAACGTAGATACCTTGATAAGTGCTTCACTACTATTTCACATGATAACACTACTATTTCACATGATAATTCCTATTGCTACTGGCACTATAACTTGTGAACTGTTCATGTAAGATAGTTGAAAATTATAGCCTTATTTGATAAATAACTTTTGCTTGGTCTTTTGGTTAGTTTTTGGCTTTTAGTTTTTCATCTCAATCAAACACCTAGAAAAGGTTTGGTAAATGACTTTTTTGTTAGCTAAAAAGTCTGTTTTGCCGCCAAAAATTTAAGGATTTTGTTATACATAACCCTAAAGGATATGCATAAGAATCAACAATTTCATATCGTTAATTCTAATTTTTCTTGTTCCAATAAAATCTTATAGTATTAATAATGCAGAATTAATTCACTCAAAAAATGTAATTAATACCTTTCATACCTACACAATTAATTACCATGAAAATGCATTTATAAACCAATTAAAGCTATTTTTTTTTTCGGGATTAAAAACTATTGTATTTTATTTAATTATTTAAGCACTAACAATCTAGCATCATACGAAAATAGAAAATTATATATACTCTAAAAAAAATAGTTATATGAAAATCCAAAATAAACACCGTACAAATCGATCTTTGACTAACATTTTTCCAAGAAACAACATATAGCAACCAAACCATCTATTAAACCAAGGACTCCAATCAAACCATCTACTAAACCCCTCATGAAGAGTTTGAATTCCAAGTGGACAATACTGCAATAATATATTAGTGTGCTGCTAAGATTATTTTTTTATAAATATTGTCTATACATCGTGATCGCCTGATTCCGTTTATTAGAAGTTAAAGTTAGTTGATTATCATTTTCAAGCTTTAATTTGTATTCTACGTATTCCCATCCGAACAAAATTACTAATTCTATGCCTATCCAATCATCATTGGTTCAAAATATTTCATTCTTATAGGTCGGATAAAGGTATATTACTAGAAGATGATGATGATATTGATTTTTATTTTTATTTTCTTTTATTGTTGATAAAAATGCAATTTAATTTGTTTAGGTAGGTGGAAAGAGGAGAGGGAATAGAGGTAGCGAAAGAGATTAAATAAATTTCTACGGGAGTACTAGTTTTGAAGGTTGAAGTTCATTTTTGAGAAGGCTACCATAATAAATAGGATTCTTTCGTGTTATTAAGGTGGCTAAGGTACGCGATGCGCACGTCATAGCTATCCATTTTCGTGAAGTTCTTTCGATTTAGCCTTATGTCATAACTTTAGTTGTTGTTATGGTAAAGGTAAATGAGAGAAATTATATAGCTAAATATTTTAGAAGTATAAATGGAACAATTTCCCTAAAAAAATTTCAAACATAAATTTATTCCCTATATGCATGCATCGGTTTAAAAAGTTATTCCTACAATGTTGTCCACGCAGGATTGGTTAACGCTTCGTATTTTTTTCTAGTTAAACATAGAACCGCTAATGGCCTGGTGATAGTGGTTTTATAAATTAGAACCGCTAATACCGTTAGCGGTTCTAATAATTATATAACATCACACTATAATTTCTTTTCCACTTCCTTTTGTCTATTAGAACTGCTAACGGTGTTAACGGTTTTAATGTGTAGATCCACTATAACCGTAAGCGGTTCTAGGTTGGAAAAAAAAAAAAACCCCGAAGCTTTATCCAATCCTACGTGGATAACATCGTGGGAATAAGTTTTTAAACTGATGCATGTAGGGAATAAATTTACCTTTAAGCAATATTTAGGGAAATCATTTGTATAAATGTAATCACACTTATTCTTATGGTTTATGGTTTTTATTATTATTATTATTATTATTATTATTATTATTATTATTATTATTATTATATATATATATATATCATATAACTAATATATAAAGCTAAACTTTTAGCCAGGTCACGAGGCAGCGACACTTGGCATTCTAACTTTTCGCCAAGTGTCGCACCACGTTGGATATATTTAAATACACTTCATAAGATAAAAAAGTTAGTTTAGAATTCTATTATGAATCAAATTTGAATAGAATTTTAGGATAAAATTGTTAATTTAAAGTTTTATTTTCAATAAAATAAAATTTGAGTGTAGCGCCACGTTGTATAGATTTAAATTGACTTCATAAACAATCCGGGTATCGCACGGGGCACAAAACTAGTATATATATTAAAGCAATTAACATTAATGAAGGCAAATAAGTAAATAATATGGACAAGAGTTTACTCAAACTTTTTTAAAAGGTAGGGAATCAAAAGTAGTGATTAATATAAGAAGACTAACTTGCTATAGTATTGAGATTATTTTTTCAATTTTTCTTATTTCTTTTCTATATTATATCTTTACAAAAATATGCATTCTATCAACTCATATGCATAATGACATTTTCGTATTTATTATAACTATATAGTAAAAAACAATATATATCAATAATATAATACACTGGAAAGACTCTCCGTCATATAACAAATTGCTTTTGATTAGTATGCAATGTGAGAATAATTAAATTGATCTAATGATTTAGAACTAAATAAGCCGATATTTGGTTCACCTTATTATTGTTTAGCTAATCTGATTTGAACTTTTATTTTTGTTTATATCTAAATTTTTTTTTCTAATCGAGATTTGACTAGCATACCTATCCTTAATATGATCTTATATGTATGTTTACTTTAATAACCTTAGGAAATGGTCATTTTTATAATTCCATGGGATCCATGCCAATTAACAATGGCAAACATATAGATGCATGCAATGTAACTTGCAACCTAAGTGAGTATATTATTACCACTTACCAGCCAAGTATTAAAGTTTATACTCCCTTCGTGTTTTTTAAGGATTACACTTTTACTGCCATATAGTTTTAGGCAATTAATTGACTTAAATAAAATAAGAGGTAAGTGGGGTAGTTGGAATATTAAAAAATTGTAAAATACAGATAGTGGGGTTAATATTTTATTGAAAAGTAATGAATATGAGAGGAAAGATATAATAAAAAAAAGTAGTTTTGGGTTTGGGTGGGGACCATGAGAGGAGAGAGATATAATATTTTAATGTAGTTTTTTGCCAAAAAAAAAAAAGTTTAACACTTACAAAAAAAAATACGACCGTAAATGAAAAGTATAACACTTTAAAAAAACCCAAATGTATCTCAAACACACAAATGTATCTTAATGGTTGGGACGAGCCTGAAAATGAAAAACTGACCAACTATAATTCTTCTTATCCCACTTAATCCCATCCCTCCTACCAAAATGAAAAAGCTGGTCATCTATTCTAAGTTTCTAATTTAATCACCTATACTTCAATTCAAACCATATATATTAGACGAGGTCAAAATGGGATCGGATGTAAGCTAAGCTAGGCATGCTGTAAGTGCGTTCAAGTACAACTATTGAACTATACATACCATAGACGGAGGGTCGAATTGCAAGCCAAGATCCCAGTCGTCGTCGTTGTCGTTGTCGTAAACAACATCATATGTTGGAGTCGGATTATTAGCAATAACCTGAGCCAAACGCCTTTGAGCATCTGACTTTTCAGCACCATTTCGACGAGTTCGTTTCGAGGTGGCAAAGCCCGAGCCAGTACGACGATGTCCTGGCATCACCATCACCGACGAACGTATCTCTTGATCACTGCCAATAGAACTCATTATTATCGTGAACAATCGTATGACATGGAGATGGAGTTATATAATATATACAAAAAATATAATACAAGAATTAATAATTAGCTAGACTTATTTAGAAGCAAAGGTACAATTAAAAAGTGATCATCGGTTTCGTGCAAATTTATACTTGTTAACATGGAGCTGCTAATTAAGAATAGGTAATTAAGAATTGGTCGCCAAGTTGACTGGGTTTGGTTGTAAATTATATGCTAACATTTGTCTTATTTTTCAAGCTTAAATTGGTCAATGTTCATATTGACTGCGCGCTTCAACGTGATTAGTATTCTATGTACATGAAAAATGGCTAGGTACCTAAAATATACTCCTAGTTGTTGGTGTTAGGCCTTGTCTACTTCATCTTATTTTTATTTATTTCAGAAAAAAAAAAAAGTTCAAATCAGAAAAAATAAGTTCAAATCGGAAAAATAAATCTAGACCAAATCATTTTGTGTGCAATTTTTCATCGCTAAATATCTTTAATTTTATAATAAAAAAAATTATAAAAACTACATATTAATAAATACACATTATTACGAATATAACAAGATCACACTTGATATATTTTTACCTTACAGATTATCGTCACTTAAGACCAAAGATTGGTCAAATCAGAACAAATCTGACCAGACCAGACAAAATCAAATCAGACCAGACCAGATCAAATCAGATAAGTAAAAATCAGGTGGACTAAACGAGCCTTAGTCTCCGTTCTTTTCACTTTAAATTACTCCCTCTGTGCTTAAGTAAATGAAACATTGAGTATTATTAGTAAAATTAAATTAATTTTAGTTCAATAAAAGTAAGTCCAGTTCGAAAATATTAAGTTTAATTCAGTTTAAATAATTTTGAATTCATAAAAATCAGTAATTTTGAAGAACAAATATAATAGAATATTGTTAGTAAAATAATTTCACTTCAATAAAAACAATTTCAATTTAGTGAAAAATAATTTAATTTGAGAAAACTTAATTAAAATTAAAGTTAAAATAATTTAATTTAATAAGAATGCACCTTACTTGGAATTGAATATGATATATGAAAACTAAATTATTCACATAATACCCTTGACTTTCATTTGTGATTATTTTGTAAAAATATTGAATTCTTCTTCACTTAGTGTATTATACTTGTAAATATATTGAATTCTTATAGTTTTTAGTAAATGACATTTAAAGGTATAATTGTTTAAAGTTGTGCACTGGTATTTGAGAAGCGTGAAAGCAAGTCTAATATTACACCTTGTGTTTTAAAAAAAGAGAAATAACAACTAATATTTTTATATAAAAAAAAAAAAAACTAATTACAAAAAAAACAACTAATAATTTTTCATAAAAATAATCCATATTATATATACAAAGTATTCACCAAAGTAATGCATTATTAGAGTAGTCCTTTTCAATATATAGTTAGTGTAAGAACTTATAGAAACATTTCTTTCCAAAAAAAAAAGAACTTTTAGAAACATATTGATTAATAATTAATTTAATCATAATAATTAGTGTTTTTTTTTATAAAGAAAAGTGGAGCCTTATTATACATTGATAGTAATTTATCCATCAAACCGTACAAGAAAACATTATTTGGAGTGTGATTAACCCAAACTTGTTCAACACTAGAGGGCTTAACCTTATCGAGATGATGAGCTACACTATTACCATCTCTTCTTACATGACGGAATAAAATTAAAAGAATAATTAATACTAAGAAAATGTTTAGTTTTCTGTTAGAAAAAGAACATGTTTGGTAAGAGTGTTGGAAATATATTTAATTAACCGTTACTGCTATCATGTGTTTGGTTCGAAGGCTTGAGTATGTAACAATTACCATTACCTAAGGATAATGATTTCACCTATTTGTATTGTTACCTCTCTAAAACCCAATGTAACACTAATCCTTACCCTCCCCATACAAAGAAAAGAGAGTTAGGATTAAAAGATTCTCCTTTCTATGGTTAAACCAAACAAATGAAAAGGTAAGTGTCATGTTACGTTAAATGATTTCTTTCTTCAATTCTCCATTTCTATTATTCGCACAAAATGCTTCGTGAGAACATCTTCGTTCTAACGATAAAAAAGGTTATTGTGGAGCATCTCCTCGCTTATATAGTTGGAAATTAAAATACAGTCTTATAACTTGTTGGAGAGATAAGCAATCTAACGATCTTTTGTAGCCGAGAGGATGTTTTCCTTCTAATTAATTTAATGATTGTATTTGAAAACTTGATAACCTTGGCGATCTTGCATAGTTTTTTCCCAATGATGAAACAATTTCACGACAATCCATTCGATTTACTATCACAAATTTAAAACTAAGAAATTTGTCCATTAAATTGTCTTTCAATTCGATAAAGGTTGAAAAACCCTTGTCTTTCAAAGCCTGTCTTTCTAGAGAAAAAGGTCATCTCATAAGTTTTAATTTCAATGGTTAAAATTGATGGAAACCCCTTCAAAAATTGACAATGGAGGCTAGGATTTAGGAAGAAAGGAAGGAGGAGAGAGGACAACATAATTTCAAGCTAAGGAGAGCACCATCTATCTTCTTCTTCTTCTTTTGTGTGTGTGTGTGTGTGTGTGTGTGTGATGCAATGTTTTTTTTCAAGATCAACATAGATTAAAGATCAACATGGATTAATTCTTGTATTAATATAGCAGACATTCACAGTTTGGCAGGTTTCGAATCAGCAGATTAATTTTAGCAAATCTTTTGTCAAATTTAGCCCGTCAGTGTCCCCGGAGTTAGCAGAATCCTTTAAGGATATCCTAAGGGTCCCGGTAGTGTTGACACGAAAATTTTGTTAATTTTTAGGTGTCGAAATTATGTAAATAAACGGATAATATAAAAAAATTTGAGCTATTTTCTTCAGATGCTCTTAGAATATTTGATAATTATCTTGTTTATGACTCTACGACTCTCTATATAAAGGGGTTGTTCTTAGGGTTTTAATATAATTATGCTCAGATAGAATAAGTCACAAAGATCTCATCTCCTCCTTACTACCAAACATTGTAGGTATACAATATTGATTAAGTCGACAAGGCCCCGTACTATAAACACATCAAAACTCTATCCCTTTAGAGAGAGGAATTAAGAGATATACGGTAATTATAACCTACAAATTATCAATGAAATTATTGTTTCCATAAATTTTTATCCCCTCTTTATTTGTATTTTACAGATTTGAATTTTTATGGTAAACAAAGAGTATTGAAAAAAATTTATTAGGAGTCTCAATAGAATTTATGGGGAACAAATAAAGTTGCAATATTTCATCTACCTTGTTGATGAACAAGTTATACAGAAAGTTATCTCTTTAATTTGGGTGCAATGCAATCTATCTGAAAACACAAAATTAATCCTTATCAATTATATATGTTCTTTTGGGTATTTCTTTTCATGTTATGAAATACTTCAAATTGCCATTGGTAATTGCGAATAAGCTAGATTCACTTATCACCAGGTGTGCAAAGAGTGGTGATAATGGAATACATTGGGTTAACAGACAAACGATATAGCTATCTAAAAGTATAGAAGGCCTAACTAGGTATCCGATGTGTAAATGTGTATAATGACGCTTTTCTATCTAAATAGGTTCAAAGGATGCATACTAACCCACAACTTATGGCGTCAAGGGTTTACAATGCAAATTTCACTTGCCTATTGTGCACGGGGAATACACTAGGAAGAAACTCCGATCCCTACTTTTTCTTGGGTGCGGAAGAGTATTCATAACTTTTCTCTCAAAATGAGTAGAGGATTTGCTTGCAAAATTGTGTCTAGTAAGGGTATTTTAGCCCTTAGTTTGAATTGTGTTCATGAATTACTTCGTGTGATTAGTCTAATCAAAGCCTTCGACAAAAGTGCAAAGTGGACAATTTTTAATCTTATTCAACATAGATCTTACACCTAAGATGTAGGAACGTACTATTTGGGAGCATGAATAGGACAGTGGACAAAAGATCTTAATCACAATAGATTTGCCGCAACATACATGTTGAAATGGTTTTCTCTATTGGCCTCAACACTCTTCAAGAAGGTATACATTTAAGTCTAAGTCTAGTTATGCTTTTCTAGCAGATTCAAATGGAAGCATGGAAGCATCACATACAAAAGAAAGCCTTTGATGTTTATGAAATCATATGACATTTGAAAATCCCACCAAAATGACATCTTTAAGTGAAAATTAGCTATTAATGGTATTCCAATTAAAGCAAACCTCCTAACTAGAGGTTTGAATGTTGATGGTTTGTGTGGTTATTGTGACGTGGGAATAGAAAAATGTTCATCATCATCCTTTTTTTTTTATTTTATTTTTTTTAAATTTGGATTGTTCTATACCTTGGTATGTTTGAGATAATTGTGGTAAACCAGATTGCAAAAAATAAATTAGGTATACTTCTTTGCAAGAGTAGTGGATACTATATCTTAATGTTTATAGTCAAGATGGTTTTTAGAAAACGTTAAACGTTGCTACGACGTGGTCTATTAGTCTATATGGACAAGAGGGTCTTTGAAGGGAAAAATGGTTATTTGAGGAGCTATATTTCAAATCTCAATCTTGCACTACAATATTTTCATGACTTCTTGAACCTAGATGTTTGAAAGCTCAGTGGGCACTTTAAGGGTATATGATGAGGATATTCACGTACCTCCTAATGGGTTCTTACAGGTTTCCTTAAGAGTGGAGAACCATTCCCTTCATTTTAGGACTACTCCTTTTATAGCTATAGTTGGTGTTGATGTCTCTTGGCACAAAGGTATTAACACTTATGGGACAGGTTTGACTGCGACTTCTTTTGAACAAGCGGGGGTTAATTCTAGAGTTGCGAAATCGGCTATTCATTCGAAAGGGTTTGCCTGTCTTTTCTGCTTTTACGATGGAGGGACTTGACGATGTTAGTTAATTCTTTAATCCATAAGGATATGCTAACATGGAGATACACTGGACACACATCTGAAAAGTGGGAAGGAGCTTTCAACATAGTGCCATATATCTTCACAGTTGATAGAGATAAAGTTAACCGAGCTCACCTTCTAGCAAACCAGTGCTACCTTTTTCGTTCTTCTTTATCTCCCCCCTTACCATCTCAACCTCAACCTCAAACAAATAAATGCTACACACTTACCATCTCAACCAACTATTATTTGTGTTTTAAATTTCACATATTTAACATTATATATTCCTTTTAAATTAGAGGTTATTTAATTTATTTATTTTTCACAAGATTAGAAAATAAATACATGTGAAGTAAAAAAAAAAACCGTAACATCCGATACGACAATCAAATCACACACTAGCTATACAACGGTTGAACATAATTATCAAATTAAAGAAGTACAAACAAGCAATCCGGGCATCGCTCGAGACACACACTAGTTTGAAAGTTGAAAAATTGTTAACTCACACTTGTTTAACATCGTTTTTTATTCGGTTTAAAATTTTTTTTTGAAGATAAAAGGCCAAAAAAAAAAAAAAAAAAAGTTTTACCACTTAAAACACTTTTGCCCTCGTGATAAACAATCGGTTAAACTAGGATTCTGTACTCCTTCCATGTTAATTTAAACTTTTTCCTCCTTTGGATCTTATTTCATCACCAACTTACCCTGCCTCGCTGCACACCCTTCCCCCCTCTCTCCTCCATTGAAGCGTATTCTGAATTCTCCATTGAAGCGACTTCTGAGCTTTCTCTCCTCAATTGAAGCGGCTTCTAAAGTAAGATTTCAAATTAATTTCAATCATCGAACATCAATTTCACGATATTGTGTTAATCGTTGATTTAATTATCAGTATACTCAATTTAGGGATCTTCTAAGGTGGATTATTGTAGTATTCATTATAATCATTCAAGTTATGAAAGATCATAACGACTGATTTCATTGCTAGAATCTAATTCATGTTCTTAAGCGAGATGAATTTAATGTAATTTTTTGAGTTTATTTGACAATTGAATCAAATTTAGTTGATAATGTGTTGCAGACTTTGGTTTATATAACCCTTTAATGTCAGGAAGAATCTAGAATTAGAACCTTCTTTCGGCCTCGGGTGGCTGCTTCTCTTGCCCTCGCTCAGGGACGGGCTTAATTTGATATTAAAGACTCCAAATTTAACCTTTTGATTATAGATAATAATTCATTGATTTGGGGTTACAAATTTTAATTTGCATTTTTCTGTGATTACTGATGTTCAGGTTAGCAGAACGCGGTTGAAGTGGCAGGTTAATTAGGATGGATTTTGTATCTGGCTATAAGGTTCATCTTAATCCCTATTGCTTATGTCATCTATCTTTGTAAACTTTTATTCACATTTCATCTGCGATTTCTGGTGTGATTATAATTATTTATGAATGTGATATTAGTCATTTTACTTTTCTTGGCACTAGGACAGCATCATTGGCACTACTACAGCATCATAAATTGTGCATCATATTATTATTGAATTGATCAATGTGAGCTCAAACATAGTGTTGAGTAGGGGCATAATAAACTTAGAGTGTATTTTCGGGTTTTTTTGAATTTTTTTATTACCTATGGGATTAGGCTTTGTACCGTAACTTCCTTACTCAGCCTTATGTTATCAGGTGATTTTCGGGTTTTTGTGAACTTTTTTATTACCTATGGGATAAGGCTTTATACCGCAACTTCCTTGCTCAGCCTTATGTAATTAGGTGGGAGCCTGTTTGTATGCGTTGGAGATTTGGGGCAATTTTTTGTTAAAGTTGAAAAAAAGTTGTATACTTGTCTGTATAAAGTTATGAACTTTCTTGGAGGATGAGTTTTCTTAATTATGCATATAGTTGATGTAAGCATTGGGAGTTTGTATGTCTGTTTGTATTTTATATTGAATATTTTTTGACAGCACTAAGAACATTTTAAAATTGTGGCAATTTCTTGACAGGGAGTTGTTGGACGTGTGTTTGGAAATGATAATGCTACTTCAAATGAAGATAGGTGAGTTGTTATGCATTTTTTCCGTGGCTAACTTACAAACATTTTCTATGAAATATACTGGGAATAATAGCTTATTTTAACAAACCTCTCCCTCCATTTGGAAATAATAGCCAGATTAGCTATTTTAGAATGTATGTAAAAAGTTGCATTTTCTAAATTTTTTATGATTTGTCTTTGGTTTTCCCTATATACTCTGTTAAAGTTTAATGAAGAGAATATGAGAATAATCGAATTTCAATGGAGGGTCATTGATTAAAATAGTGTCATATCCTACGTTGTTATATTATTTTGATATTGATTTCGGATGAAGGAAGTTGTTATTATCAGAATGACTCTTCAAGAACCTTAACTGAATGCATTTTGAGGCTCAGCTGACTGACTATGATGGGCAGATGAAACCTTCACTTTCAATTATATCAATTAGTCTTCAAGGAGCATAAAGAAAAGGTTGTCTCCCATTATGACAGGGATTTTAGATGTTTGATCCTGTGGTACATTATGTTTTATGCTTGAATCTTGATAAGCTTACTTGAAACTATGTGGGTAAATGAAGAATATTGCTGTTGGATTTGAGGTAAAAGGTTGCTGTAGCTTTCTGTGCATTCAATTAAATGCAATAATATTCCATTGCTAAAGATTTTGGGGTAGATCATATGACTTTTGTATGGACAATTTGGGGAGGTAAATTATTGTGCTGGAAAGAGGGAGATCAAAGTTTTATAGATGGAAGGTTTTGGGGAGGTGTATCATTGGACTAAATATTTCTGGTTCCTTGATGGGAATGATTTGAATGAAGCCATGTGGGTTGTTGGGAGGGGGAGAGGAATTGTTTGTAATGAAGTGGAAATTTGTGCCAGAAAGTTTATGGGGAAAGAAGGTAGATTTTTTGCATTAAGACCTGGAAATAAAAGATAATACAACTATACAAGTATGTAATAGATTAGGCTAATAGATAGGGATAGTAGTGTAGGCAAAACATAATAAGCTGTTAAAATCAGCGTAAAGAGGATGGAAAAAATTCTATAAAAAGAGGAGATCGGTGAGAGAAAAATTGTGGAGATTTAATGAGTATTTTTTTAGTTTGTTTTAGCACTTTGGAGAGATTAAGCCTCTCAAGATAATTTCTTACTACCATAAACTCCAAAATAATGTAGTTCTAACTAACATGCAAAGGTTAATGTGTTGAAGTCAAACAGGGCAGACGAAACAGATGTAAGCCCGTAAGTTGTCCATTAATTAACTTAAATTAGTCCAAATAAGCAATTGCAACTTTGAACTATAAAATAATCCACAACCAATAATTACATAGATCAACTAAATTAAATGTTTTTGAGTCTTCTTGCATCTGCACTAGAAAAGCTTGTAAATATCTATTTTTCCTTCTTTCCATCACCCTTAGCTCTGCCAAGTACCACAATTTTGTGACATATCTAGCAAAGCATTCTATCATCAATTGCATTTTTCTGCAAAATAACCGGGGAACTTCTGTGTAAATTGAAAATTGATGTTGGGGAGAGAAAAGGGGTAATTTGGCAGGGATAATAAAAGTGGCGTTGCAGAGTTGGGCTTTTACAGAGCCTCAAAAGGTATGACAGAAACTGTAGAGCCTGAAGTTTCTCCTGTATCTGCAAGCATGAATAGTGTTAAAAGATTTATGTTGTTTCTTGTAAGTTGGAGCCTGTGATTTCTTTGAAATGTAATATTGCCAAGTTGGTGATCTTTCCACTCCTCACTGTATATGCTAAATCATTGTTTTTTCTTTGATAGTTATGTTGAACGGTTGCTTGATCGAATAAATAATGGTGCAAAGGCTGAGGATAGAAGGATGGCAATGGTTGAACTTCAATCTGTTGTTGCAGAAAACCATTCTGCACAGCTAGCTTTTGGAGCAATGGGTTGGTATCTTTCTCGTGGTATAACTTTCTTGGACTGCAATACGCTAGATTGATTTCTCTCATATTTTCTCTTTTGGGTTTGCAGGCATGCCAGTATTACTAAGTGTGCTGAAAGATGAGCGAGATGACGTAGAAATGGTTTGAATTCCTCACTTTTGTTAGATATTAGTTTTCCTAACAGTTGGTGATGTAAATGATACTGCTGCCAGTGTTGTATTCACTTATCATATGCTCATTTTATGAACTCCTGCCATCCCATATTAAGTGCTATATACAAGTTTATAAGGTCAGCAATAACTTTGACTGTACCTTTTTCACGAAGACATAAGACAATAAATTACTATGTGGGATCTTTTTAGCTTCAATTCAATGTGTATTAATATATCTATTATTATACTTACAATCCTTTCCTGGAATCCAAAATACACTGGAAAGATCTCAATTTTTCCACCCTGGTGGATATTGAACTTACTGCAGTTTAGGGAATTCAAGTGACTCTGAACTCTGAAGTTCAAGCTGTGTACTTCCTCCATCTCATTAATCTTCTTATTCATTGTAGCAATAACAACTAGGGGTAGAGAGGGGGGGGGGGTTATGTAATCCTTTTATTTTTAATTTTTTATTAATCAGTATAAGTGGACCATGTGGTGGGGTGAGGAAGTGTTACAGAATAAAATTTCTTTTCCATGAAAGGAATAAAGTAAAATTAGGAAGATGAAAGAGGTGTGAACATAAATGGAAAGTAGAAGGGTCAATGAAGAACAGAGGGAATATCTGAAGTTTGACACATTTTGAACTACTGGTTTCATCTTTCCTTTTGCCTGAATGATATTCATGTTGTGATGGGCACAAATATTTGGGTTTCTATTACTATAGACCATATTATCTTTGTAATTCTTTCCTTAACATCTGACACTGTGCTTATACATAGAACCTTTTTTTCCCATACTTCCAGTGAATAACAGTTTTGGTTGGTTTACTTAGTTGAACAGAGTCCATTAGATACTTTCTTCGTAGCCTTATAGCTGCTAATAGAATGTCGAGTCACTAAAATTTTCTACTTGATGCATACAGATTCGAGGTGCTTTAGAAACCCTTGTTAGTTCTTTGACTCCTCTTAATCATGCAAAAATGGCAAAGATTGAAGTGGAGCCATCTAAATTGAATGCTGATTTATTATCAAGAGAAGTAGACAATATATCTCTCCTCCTCAGCTTGTTGGTGAGAAATGTTTATGTTTCTCATTCATTTAGTCATATAATTTACTGAGTTCTTTGCTTGTTTAATGTGCAATTTTTTTTACCTTTCAGGCGGAGGATGATTTCTATGTAAGATACTATACCCTACAAGTATTAACTGCTCTTCTCACAAATTCGCTAAACAGGTGTTTGTCTACCTGTATTTTTTTCCTCTTATACTATAATCGTTCTTTTTTAGTTAACACATTTTTTTATTCATGTTTGCCAACACACAAGTTTAAGGGTGAAAATCTCTAATTATCAGGATGTAAAAATTTATAAAAAGTTGATATTAATAAAATTTACATTGAAATGATTCAAACAAGATCCCACATGACTATGTTTTGTAGTAGCTATAAATCACAAAAGCTTGTCTGAGCACAATTTGTGAATAGTGTCAAAAGTCAAAACTTGTCAACTGAAAAAAAAAAGTAGGAAGTATTATATTTTGAGCTGTATAGTGACTCATGATGCACTTATGTTCAGATTACAAGAGTCTATTTTGACTATTCCTCGTGGCATAACTCGATTGATGGACATGCTGATGGATCGTGAGGTAACGTGTTATTGGAAATGATTAATAATCTTGCAATAGCTCATGAATCTGACATAATTATGTATAACTGGTTTTCACATTTAGCTATTTTACCAAGATTAAGTTGGGGTGCCACAATTTTTTTTTTTTTAATTTTTTTTTTAATCCCTGGATACGGCTTTATAATATTATTTAATATGTAGTACCTGCTATACATACTCTGTCCAAAATGCTTCTGTTTCCCTCCTCATTTTACCTTTTGTTTTGCCTTCCCTTCAATATTATTTTGGGCCTTGCTGAAACATTTTATCTGGTCTTTCTGCTAGGTTATACGCAATGAGGCCTTGCTGCTCCTTATGTACTTGACTCGTGAAGCTGAGGTTGGAATTCCCCATTGAAGCTTTCACTTGAGCAGTTAGTGTGCATCTTGTTTTCTAATAATTGGTTCTTTTATGTAGGAAATACAAAAAATTGTAGTGTTTGAAGGAGCTTTTGAAAAGATATTTACCATTATGAAAGAGGAAGGTGGTTCGGATGGTGGAGTTGTTGTTCAGGTGAGCTGATTCTCAGACTCAGTGTGCAATTGTGCTTATTTCCATACTTTGGGAAGCTCTTCTTCTTTACATTGAACAAAAGAAATTATAGTAAGAGAAAATTTGTATACTCACACTCTAATAAGAGGAATAGCTGTCTTAAATTTGTGTCGGTCATGCTTTATAACTAGTAGCAGCATGAAATGCAACCCCGCAGAGTTGCACCGAATTGCATCAGTTATGCTATCCTTTCCTTTTCAGATTCTTGTTTGTCATCTTATTGTAGACTTAGATTCCTAACCAAAAAACTGGATTATTATGAACTCGGACTTGGTATGTTCGATCCTCGCAATAACACATCCTTGTAACCTGATGCTGAAGAACTTTGAACTACGAGCTCTGATGCCTTTTCTTCTCTTCGTTTGATACTGCTTATTTTCACTGCCTGAAAGTTCTGAAGTTACTTAGAGCTTATGCTTCATTTTTGTGCAGGATTGTCTTCAACTCTTGAATAATATATTGCGTAACAATACCTCTAATCAGGTAAGTTCCTATTGAATTTGTTGATTTGGTTGTATGTTGACCATATCCTACTGCTAACTATGTTCTTTCACATACGTGGATTAGACTCTATTGAGGGAGACAGTGGGATTTGATCCTATAATATCACTTTTTAGGCTTCGAGGAGTCTCTTATAGCTTTACGCAGCAAAAGGTTGGAAACTTTGTAACCTGATACATTTATTTACTTTTAATAACTGTGTTTTTAACTTTGAATGGCTCACTGGTACTTTTTACTCTCCTGTTAAAAACCATCATACCAGTAGACAATAAATCTGCTCAGCACATTGGAGACTGTTAATCTGCTGATAGCCAGTGGTCCACAAACTGACACAGGGAAAGATACGGATAGTATGACCAACAAAACAGTCTTGGTTCAGGTTTGTCAAACCCTTATTTTTATTGCACTTTTGTTTCAGCTTGTCTTGAGAGGGAATTTCTATTTATCTTTCTATTATATCTTCTACTCATTTATTGCAGAGAAAAATTTTGGATTATCTCCTTATGCTAGGAGTTGAGAGCCAACGGGCTCCTGTTACTGTTCGTTGTGCGGTATGATATATTCTTCCTTATGGTTCTCTGTTGGTTGTTATTCTTCCCAACGGATCCTAGTATTGTTGCTGCTGTTATCTTCACAGTAGTGTTGCTGAATTGTTTCAGGCACTACACTGTATTGGTGATATAATTGCTCGACATCCTAAGAACATTGATGAGCTTGCCAGTAAAGTTCTTGGAGAAGAACCACAAGTAGAACCTGCTCTAAATTCCATTCTTCGAATCATTTTACGAACTTCTAGCATGCAAGAGTTTGTTGATGCAGATTATGTTTTCAAGAACTTTTGTGAGGTAGGTAAACTGAGGTATAAAAGTTTTTTTTTTTTATTTTTTTATTTTAAATATTGTTTTTAAAGAGTGGGGGAAAAAATAGGGAGAAATGGGCAATATGATGAACAGATAGTGCTAAAAGGCCGCTACCTAGTCTAAAAGCTTTCTGGAATCTGGATAGTGGATATAGTCTTTTAGCACTACTTTGGGGGAAGACTTAATTGGTATATCACTGATATCCCGTTTGGCAAGTGGTAAACTGGTAATAAATGGTGGAAATGGGACTGAATTTTTACATTTATATGTAAGGAAAATAAGCGTCCATTCCCATGGTAATGCTAGTCCACTCCAAATTGTCAATTTTTCTTCAAAATTATTTATTACCAATCATACCATTTGTGGTGTGATATTAGGTGGTAATAGACATTCTTAAAAAAAAAAATACAAGTTTAGTGATGAGATTGCATTACTATAGACACTATGATGTTATTTTGCTTGCCATAGTTATATTTAAATTCATTTTCGTTACCTTCATTTATAAACTGCTACCAAACGGGCCTTGATGGTTGGAAATGATTTTTGTCTACCTTGCCTCAAACAGAATAATCCTGATGGTCAGCGACTATTAGCATCCACGTTTACACCCCAGCCACAGTCAATGGCTCATGCTCCACTAGAAGATGATGTAAATATGTCATTTGGAAGGTTCTTTTCTGACATCCCAGTGAGATATTTATATTTCTCATCTGATATCTTTGCAATATTGTTTGATTAAGGTAGTTACTCAGAAAGAGGTCTTTTTTTGCAGTATGCTGCTCCATGGTCTGTCAATGAGTGAAAGTGATGGGGATCTTGAGGTAATATTCGATTAATATCGGTGGTTTATAAAAGAACCTGTAACAACTTACATAATATGAGTTTATGCTTTCAGTCAATCCATTGATGGCCTTTGTACCAATTTGCAAGCCTATGTTTGTGACTGACTTCATGAATTCTATCTTAATTTTCAACTGTTAGTCTTGCTTTACAGGAGCAGGGCTATGAATGCCAATAACGACAAAGGCCCTGTTTAATTTTTAAAAATCAGGCCTTTAATTATTAAATTCAAAGATAGTTTTTATTAACAAAACAAAAAACTTTACTAATCAATTTTATGATAAAATTGAAAATTAAGAGTAGGGTACAAAATACATCTCCAAAACCCAACAATTTTACATATGATGCACGTGCTTTCTCTTTGTATGTATCGAAAGTAGTACTAGTATAAAATAATACCAAATTTGAGGCTCCTTTTTTCTGGGCCCTATGTGGTCACTTACCTTGCATATGCTCAAAACCACCCCTTGCTAAAATGGTCAGCAGTCATAAACAGCAAGTGGTGGTTGTGTAGGCCTCCAAGTATTAGCTGATGTCTCAATCTTTCACTATAATACCTCCATAAGAATAAATTTAAAGTGAAGCCTCCCTTTCCTATGAAATAATAGAGAAGAAGTAGAAAATAGAAAAAACAGTATATTTGTTAAACATTTTTCCTGTTCTCTTCATACATACCAAATATACCTGTATTATTTTACTTCCTTCATTCTCCATCTTTCTACTATAGTTACTTAGTTTATAAAATGGTCAGTAATTAATTTATTTATATTTTGTTGGTGCAGATATGTGCACGGGCTGCTAGTGTTTTGTCTCATATGCTGAAGGACAACACCCAATGCAAAGAGAAGGTGTATTTTCTTGTTTTTTTTTTCCTGTACTAATCATATTATGCTCTTAACTTATGTTCTCACTGGAAAACTCATTATCTCTTACCTCATTGCCCGTTCTAGTTCACCTTCTCTAGCTTATATTTGGCCTTTGTTATGCTTACATGTCATTGTGTATTTAATTTGACAAAAATTGCAGGCTTTAAAAGTTGAACTGGGGGCAACAATGCAGTCTATGGGGACCCCTGAGCCATTAATGCACCGCATGGTAAAGTACTTGGCTGTTTCTTCTTCCATGGATAGTAAAGATGGAAAGTCAAATGGAAAAGCAGATCTTTACATTCAGGAAATGATTCTAAAACTTCTGATAGTGTGGCTTGTTGATTGCCCAAGTGCGGTGAATTGTTTTCTTGATGCACGCCCCCATCTCACCTATCTTCTTGAGTTGCTCTCAAATCAATCTGCAACAGTATGCACTCAGGGGCTAGCTGCTGTCCTTTTGGGAGAGTGTGTTCTGTACAATAAGTGTATTGAAAATGGTAAAGATTCTTACGGCATAGTTGATGCAATCAGTCAAAAAGCTGGGCTTACCTCATTCTTTCTGAAGTTCGATGAGATGCAAAAGAACTTCCTGTTTTCCTCCAAGAAGCTTTCTGAACAGCACAAACCTTTGACTAGATCCAATGGTGCTAGTATGGAGGATGTTGACAACGAACAAGATGATGCTAGTGTGACGGATAAAAGAACTGACAATGAGGTGCATCCAATTCTGGCTTCACTCTTTGATGCTGGCTTTGTTGCAATGGTTAGTAGCTTGGAGGTTAACATAAGAGAGAGATTTGTCGACGTTTATAGTAATCCAAAAGCAAAGGTGGCAGTTGTTCCTGCTGAATTGGATCAAAGAAGTGGGGAGAGTGATGGGGATTATATTAAGCGTCTTAAAACCTTCGTGGAGAAACAGTGCTCTGAAATCCAGGTAAACAGTTTAACCTGAAGCCATTATCTATCTCCTTTCCTTCCAATTTAAAATTTTCTTTTATTTATTTAAATATTTGTGTATGGAGTGGCAATGGGGATGTTTAATCATCTAGAAGCTATAATTGTCTTTTCTGTAGTATAAGAAACTAAGAATTACCAATTTGACATATAATGATATAAATACATCACTTTTATATTACTTTATATTCTTTGATAAATTGTGAACTGTTATGTCTCGTGAAGGATCTCCTTGGCCGTAATGCAAGCTTAGCTGAAGGCATGGCTATGTCAGGCGCAGGGTCTGAGCAAAAGACTAGTGGGCCGTCAGATAGAGTCCAGGCGGAGACATACCGCAGAGAACTTCGAGAAGCAACTCAGCGACTTGAGATGTTCAAGAATGAGAATGCTAAACTTGGAAATGATGTTTCCATATACCAGAATTTGGCTAGTAAGATGGAGTCTGAATTGAAGAGCTTATCCGATGCTTATTGCAGTCTGGAACAGGCCAACTCCCAACTAGAGAAAGAGGTCAAGTCTTTAAGAAGCGGCGGTGCTGCACCTTACCCAGATATTGAGGCAATTAAAGAGGAAGCGAGAGAAGAAGCACAGAAGGATAGCGAGGCAGAGTTAAATGATTTACTTGTTTGCTTAGGACAAGAGCAAAGCAAAGTTGAGAGACTTACTGCTAGGCTGTTGGAGCTTGGAGAGGATGTTGACCAGCTGCTTGAAGGAGTAGGAGACGATACTGGCTTACCAGACGATGACGACGAAGACGATGAGGAGTGATTTATGCACTATGTAAAATCTCTTTTTCTTATCCACTCTTACAGAATTACGTATTTAATTATTTGCATTTGTGTTAAATTATTACTATGTCCTGTACATTATCTCTAGTCAGTTGTACAGTTGATTTGTTGGTGGTACACAGGAATTGGATTATAATCCGTCGTGTGAGCCAAAATTCGAAGTACTTTGTAATAATCACTGCCTAAGATCAATGTAAAAACACCTCACCAAGTTGGGCGTATCATGTACATCGATTGATTGAAGACTAATTACATGCATGTTTCTTTTGGAGGGAATTTGCGCACAAAACCTATGAAATGCCATGTTTAGCTTACCCTATATGTTTCTCTAGTTAAACAAATATCTTATACAATCGTTGTATATCTTACACAAGCTCAACGACAACTTTCGCAGAATGTAAGAAGTCATGTATACTTAAACTAGGTATAAAAGCAACATTGTAGAGAAAGCCAAAGTTGACCTTTCAAATTTGGAGAAAAGTAGGAGTCTTTAAAGACGACATCCATGAAACAAGATTGTGTCTCCAACTCTCCATGCTTACGTTTTCCAATTTTCTTGGTCGACAAGCACAACTGAATCTTTTTTTTAACACGTTTCGAAATATAATTCAAAAATAAAAATCGCCCCTTTGAATTTACCCTTTGAATTTTCATACAATTACGATTTATATAAATTATTACAGCTGCTTTCCTACATTATTTTCTAACACTTTGTGCAAGAACAAAGATGGTGATGTCTGAGACCTCTCATCAATCCTCTATGATCCCCTCCTTCCTATACTCCTCTTCGTCGTCCTCCTCCTCGTCTTTGAGTTCTCTTCAACTTGATCATGCCACTTACGATTCCTCAACTGCATCATCAACAAATGGAGTAGTGTCCAAGAATAGCATCATGGTTGCTGCTCCTAGCGAGAAGATAAAGATGTATTCGCCGGCATTCTATGCAGCTTGTACTGCTGGTGGAATGCTTAGTTGCGGTCTTACTCATACCGCTGTTACTCCTCTTGATCTTGTCAAGTGTAATATGCAGGTAAATTCTCATCTTAATCATCTTTTTTGTTGTTCTGATCCGAGTTTTATAGTGTCCTATACTCCTATATATTGACATCATACCTCTGGTAATTTACATATACTTGGTATATCATAGAATCTAAGATGAAAAATACTTTGTTATGTTGTGAATTTAGAAGTTGGGTTTTTGTTTAGTCTTTTTCTTGGGATATTTTGCAAGAGATTAGACTATTTGAGGTCAGATTCAGCAAAATACCTCTTAAATTGTTGACCAAATCACACCTCATGTAACAAAATAGTCTATGCACTTGAGTCTCATTTTTTTTTTCTAGGAAAATTTGTCATTTACTACCGCATAATAGAGCTCTTTGTAGATTACTACCCGTAATTTTTTTTTTCAATTTTCAACCAGATTCCGGTGAGTTGATGGCTTAATCATGTTATAACCATCTAATAAGCCATTCCGTGTAGGGATGGAGGGAGTACATACATTTTGTTTATGTTTGTGCATACACTAACTTATTAATGAAGGAGACTTAAATAGTTACCTGATTTTTCAGATTGATCCAGCAAAGTATAAAAACATAAGCTCTGGATTTGGAATTTTGATGAGAGAACAAGGAATTAAGGGGTTGTTCAAGGGTTGGGCACCAACCTTTTTTGGTTACAGTGCTCAAGGGGCTTTCAAAATGGGGGGCTATGAGTTCTTCAAGAAGTATTATTCAGATATCGCGGGTCCTGAGTATGCAGCCAAATACAAAACTCTGATATACTTGGCTGGCTCTGCATCCGCAGAGGTGATTGCTGATATTGCTCTTTGCCCTTTCGAGGCTGTGAAAGTTCGTGTGCAGACTCAACCTGGCTTTGCTCGTGGCCTATCTGATGGTCTTCCTAAGTTTATCAAATCTGAAGGTGTTATGGGGTATAGTAACAATTGGCCTTTCCTTATTTTTTTTGTCAAAAAACTTACAATATTATTAAGCTACAACTTCTTACCTATAAGATTGAACTTTTTCTTACAGATTGTACAAAGGACAAGTTCCTCTTTGGGGCCGTCAAATTCCATGTATGTAAACTTGTTTTCCTTCCATTAGTTTTCGTGATCTCTTTTCTTCAGCTGTCATGTACTATATGTATACGAAGTATGACTTATTTAGGTGTAGTATGGCGGTAGTGGGAAGGTAAAATTTGACATGGTTTTGATTGCAGATACAATGATGAAGTTTGCATCATTTGAGACCATTGTGGAACTCATGTACAAGCATGCCATTCCGACACCTAAAGACGAGTGTAGCAAGACAATGCAGCTTGGTGTTAGCTTTGCTGGTGGATATATTGCAGGAATATTTTGTGCAGTTGTATCACATCCTGCAGACAACTTAGTTTCCTTCCTCAACAATGCCAAGGGTGCTTCTGTTGCTGATGTACACTTCCAAATTTCATCCTTGTTACATTATTATTTCATACATTTATTCTATGATTCTAGTAACACATTTTGAATTCATCTGCAGGCTGTTAAGAAGTTAGGACTAATGGGTTTATTTACGCGTGGCCTTCCCCTTCGTATAGTCATGATTGGAACCCTTACTGGTGCTCAATGGGGTATCTATGATGCCTTTAAAGTATCTGTTGGCTTGTAAGTTACATACTCTAGCTGTGTTCGTTTCCTTGAGATACGTTTGTAACTTCTCTTAACCCCTCATTTTGTGTGCTTTATAGGCCAACTACTGGTGGGGGTTCTCCTGCTTCCGAAGCTAAAGAGTGAACTGAGTGGTCGTCAACACTGGACAATTGTGAAAACTAAAATTAATCTCATAATTGTACATTGATGCCTATTTTGACAGATTGCATACAACATTCTTACAAGAATTCGTTTATCTTTGTGAACGGGTTATTAGGACTCGTTTATTGATATAAAAAACAAATAAATTGTAGTACCTATAGTGATGATTAATTTTGTACCCTGTATAATTTTTGGTTATAGTTATGTAAAGTTGGAGATGTAGATTTTGAATGTACTCAATTTGCCATTTACATATATAAATTGGTTTTCATCTTCAATCTTGGCAAGTATACAATATACATACTAGAAATTCGCTCTGATGAAAGAACATGAACTAGCAATTATACTGAATCGCAGTTTAATATTGTTCATACACATAATGACAATCTAACTCAATACTGGTAATGAAAACCAGGGTTCATAATACAAGAGCGACTTGATTATAACTGTAAAGTCTATCTAATATGCTTATGTGACGACTTTTAGAGTTGTTAAGGGAGATACAGACCACGGTAATTCACAAGTACTTACTAATATGAACAGCTCAGTACTTGACATTATAGCTTGAATGTTCTTGCAGCTCGATTCCTATAATCCATTGGTTCTTGCAGCTCGATTCCTGTAAGAATTTCGATAAAACATGAGCAACATGAATGGTAAGAATGTAAAATCAACGAAACTTGAATTATTCATGTCAACTTTCAAGTGCAATTTATCATAATTCACAAGTAAAAAATAAAAAATCTTTGCAAAAGAAGATAGCAGAGTAGCTTTGTAACAAAGAAGGTTCGTCTGTTGCCTTTGTTGGGTGTATCATGTAATGTACATCGTTCCATTCAAGACTAATTACGTGCATGATTCTTTTGGGATGATTTATGTCTACGAAGTATAACTGTATAAGGCCAAATTTAAACTAACAAAGTATTCTACATCGATTACCTAGCTACCCTGTTTACTTTCCCAGTCAATTAAATATCCTATGCAACCGTTGTATATCCTATTTTTCTACACAGAGCGACTTTAGCAGGTGAGAATGTTTCTTGTATACTGTGTATAAGAACAAACTTTTAGAAATAGCCAAAGTTGACGAACTTTCAATTTGCCACAAAAGTAAGAAATTATCAAGTACACCTCCATGCTTACGTTTTCCAAATATGTTTTTGGTCAAAAAGCAGAAATGATTCTTCCCTTTGAATTTGCAGACAAATCCAATTTATTTATATATACATTAACAACTGATTTCCTACATTATGTTCTAATGTTTGGCACTTTGTGCAATAATAACAAAGATGGTGATCTTCGAGAACTGTAGTCACTCCTCGATGATCCCCTCCTTCCTATACTCCTCTTCGCTGTCCAATGAAGAAATGTCAAAGAATAGCATCATGGTTGCTGCTCCAAGTGAGAAGATAAAGATGTATTAGCCCGCATTCTATGCAGCTAGTACTGCTGGTGGGATGCTTAGCTGTGGTCTTACTCATACCGCTGTTACTCCTCTTGATCTTGTCAAGTGTAATATGCAGGTAAAACTTTCATTTTAGGCACCTTTTTGATCGAATTTGATGACAAAGTTTCGAGTTTAATGGTTTTGTTTCTTGTTACATGTACATATATATTTAAATCCTACAATCTAAAATGAAAATACTTTATTTTGCTTGTGAATTCTCTAGTTATGCTGGCTCTGATACCATTTTAAAATACCAACTTTGCCAAAGGTTTAAGCTAATAATTGACACTCATAAATATGTTTTTACTCTATCATGAAGAATACCAAAAATAAGGTTCATATTTTTCAGATTGATCCAGGAAAGTATAAGAGCATAAACTCTGGTTTCGGAATTTTAATGAGAGAGCAAGGGATTAAGGGGTTGTTTAAGGGTTGGGCACCAACTTTTCTTGGTTACAGTGCTCAAGGAGCTTTCAAGTACTGCGGCTATGAGTTCTTCAAGAAGTATTATTCAGATATCGCGGGTCCTGAGTACGCAACCAAATACAAAACTCTGATTATCTTGGCTGGCTCTGCATCTGCTGAGGTGATTGCTGATGTTGCACTTTGCCCTTTCGAGGCTGTGAAAGTTCGTGTGCAAACTCAGCCCGGGTTTGCACAAGGCCTTTCTGATGGCCTGCCTAACTTTGTCAAATCTGAAGGTGTTATGGGGTATGCATTGTTTCTCACTTACCACAGTTGGTCTTTCCTTTTTTCATCAACAATTATGATAATTTCTAGCTACAACTTCTTATATATATACAAGATTGAACTTCTTTCTTACAGATTGTTCAAAGGACAAGTTCCTCTATGGGGCCGTCAGATTCCTTGTAAGTCAACTTGTTTTCCTGATTTTCGTCGTTTTTTTTCTTAAGCTCTCATGTCTATATATATGATGACTTATTTAGATGATCGAAATTTATTTTATGTCTAAACCGCTTTCTACCTCTGTTAATTATTATATGCAACTTTGGAATATTTTACATCTCATAAATAATATTTCCAACACATGACAATTAACAAAAGTAGGGTCTGTTCCGTTTTACTGATCTAAAAACAACTTAACTAAAGTGAATAGAGCTGAAATGAATTGTATATGAGAGAAGAACATTAGGAACTAGACTGAAGTGAGCTGAATTGATTGAAGCTGAACTAAACTGAACTGAAATTAAGTTGAGCAGAACTGACCCCTAATAATTCTTTGATATCAGAGTTTGCATATCTGCTGATAGGGTGTAGTATGATAGTGATGAGAAAAATGCCAAATTTGACTTGATTTTGATTTCAGATACAATGATGAAGTTTGCATCATTTGAGACCATTGTAGAGCTCATGTACAAGCATGCCATTCCGACACCTAAAGACGAGTGTAGCAAGACAATGCAGCTTGGTGTTAGCTTTGCTGGTGGATATATTGCAGGAATATTTTGTGCAGTTGTATCACATACTGCAGACAACTTAGTTTCCTTCCTCAACAATGCCAAGGGTGCATCTGTTGCTGATGTACACTTCCAAATTTCATCCTTGTTACATTATTATTTCATACATTTATTCTATGATTCTAGTAACACATTTTGAATTCATCTGCAGGCTGTTAAGAAGTTAGGACTAATGGGTTTATTTACGCGTGGTCTTCCCCTTCGTATAGTCATGATTGGAACTCTTACTGGTGCTCAATGGGGTATCTATGATGCTTTCAAAGTGTCTGTTGGCCTGTAAGTTACACATTTGATCTCTAGATTTCTCAAATTGAATCGCGGTTTAATTTCCTTGAAATATATCTGTAACATCTCTTAATAATCTCTAATTTTCTATGCTTTATAGGCCAACTACTGGTGGAGTTTCTCCTGCTACTCAACCCAAAGAGTAAACTGACTGGTCGTTTAGATTGGATAGAACAATAATCTCATGATTTGTACTTCAATTCTCTTTGATGCTGCTATTGCATTATTGCGTTACTTTCTTTTCATTAAAGAGACCAGTTATATTTAATAACTGGTCTTTTAAGTTATCTCACTTTTTTTTGTATAATTTTTAATAATTTTTTTCCCTTTTTATATCTTATATTTGTACAACCAATTTTAATATTTCCCATAAGCTTATCAATTAACTAAAAAGTCATAAGTTAATTCAATATAATAATTTATTGTACCATTGTTTATAACATGTTATTTGTAGTATTTTCGACTTGTAATTGAATTCTTAGTACTGTTTTTTTTTATTTTTTGTTTTTTTTGGATTGAATCATTTGTTATGTTATATATATTTTTTTATATTATATTTTTTATTTTTATTATTTTTTTATATATTTTTGATTGAAATTAATTATGAACAAGACATAAAAAAAAATTTACTTCACAAATGATCAATAATTGATGTGACACACTATCTCGAAATCCTGAATCCGCACTGTTTGTACTTCATTCTTTGTACATTATTGATACTATTTTGACAGTTTGTATACGTTCTTACATGGTTTTGTTCACCTTTTTTTTTATTGAGTTGCATACATGATTTTTGAGATCGAATTGTTATCATGATTCATTTATTGATACCAAAAATAAGTAAATTAAAGTAACTATTGTGATGATTAATTTTGTATAGTTTTTGGTTCTATAAAAAACAGAGGAAGTATTCCCTTCATATACTTCTTCTGAAGTATATCATATACTTAATTTTATACAAATATATTCTTATAATTATCACCCCCTTGAAGTTAGAGAAGTAGATATAAACAATGCAGAAGATAGAGGGTAATTCAATCTATTGAAAAATGTAAATAAAAATGTCAATGTGTCACGTAAATCCTTTTACATTAAAGTTAAGGGGATTCGAACACTCAACCACTTATGAAAAAATTGGCTATCTAACTATTTTAGCCCATCATCAAACATGTTATAAATATGAAGAAAAAAATGTATATAAGTGTAAACCAAATGATTCAATTATTAGAAGGAAAAAAAAAACCACATTCAATATATTGGTTTTATATTTCAAAATCCTTTAAAAAAATCTCAATTGCACAATAACAAAAGTAGCAACCCGGGACATCGACCGAGTTACTCACTAGTTGCTTATTAAAATGAGGCTTGCTTATTACTTAAAACTAGGACTATAGTTTTCAAAAACAAGATTGAAAAATCAAGAGTCAAGAAGCTAAGGGGCCCTTATAATAACAATGAGATTGAATTGTTATAAGAGACTCACGTAATTTAATGTGGATCTTGAGGTTTTAAAAATAAGAACTTGATTTCAATGAGTTATTTTTTTAGTAAACGTGACCCAAAAAGGTGAATAATGAGTTATTTTTTTAGTAAACGTGACCCAAAAAGGTGAATAATTAGTAAGAGCTATACCCTAGTGTAGCTAACACTACCTACACCCCCCTTAAACTAGGGCTGTTCAATTTCGGATATCCGATCCGATTCGATCCGAAAATTCGGATATTCGAAATTTTCGGATCGGAGTAATTGCGATCCGAATCCGATTCGAAATTTTCGGATATTCGAATTTTCGGATCGGATAGTCGGATATTCGGATCGAATAGTCGGGTTTTCGGATCGGGTAGTTAAAATTTTCGGACAAAATCTGATCCGTATCTGATCCGAAAATCCGAATGTTTTTTCGGATATCCGATCTGAAATATCCGAAACCTTAAAAATCGGATCAGATATCGAAAATTTCGGATCGAATATTTCGGACCGGATATTTTTGAACACCCCTACCTTAAATGCAATGTATTAAACCCCTCCCACTACCTTAAATATGTAGACCAGATTTTTTTAAAAAATATACTCATATTAGTGATTTCAGAAGCTTGCTTCATCGTATCATCTTTATTTCCTCTCTCCAAAGACCACAATTCTTGTTTCTCTCTCTAAACTTCCAAAGACCACAATTCTTCATTTTCTCTCTCCTCAAACAACCATGTCCTTTTTTTGGTACTTCAAAAGGATTGCAAACTGATTGATTGTTATTTTCCATTGTTATAAGCGTCACTGAAATCTTGTCATATTTGTCGCGCGGAAATTTTTCGTTGTAATATTTGCCTTCTTCTTCAATTTCTTCTATAGATCTAAAAGATGGTAAGAGTTTTTGAAGTCTATAATTTTTTTTGTAAAAGTAATATAATTAGGGTTGGATTATGTTATAATATAGAAATTCTAGATTTGTGTTGAATTAATGTATGGTGCATTCTTGAATTATAAAATTATTGGACTCAAAATGACAATTGTAATTTTCTAAATTAGTGGAGTTATTTCGTAGGATTACTAAGAATTTTATTTTTATTTTTCTTTTTGATAAAATGTTCATTCTCGTTTTGATAGATGTTCATTCTTGTTTTGATATATGTTTATTTACGATACTGATAAATTATCATTCACATATTAATAGATTATCATCAGAATTTTTTAAAAAAAGTTCATTTCTACATATATGCATCTTTAATTCTTTTCTACAGATTCAAGGAATTTTGGCATGAATTTGTATTATTTGAAATTTAATTTAATTTATAGTGAAAATTATTTTTTGATAAATGTTCATTCTCATTTTGATTGATGATCATTATAATATGAATATATGTTCATTCACGTATTAATAAATAAAATTCTCATTAGAATTTCATTAGATGTTTGTTCGTATTTTAATGTTCATTATCATACTGAAAGATAAAATTCACATGGAAAATATATTCATTTTGCTAATTTTTTGGATTATTTGTGTTTTCATAGAAAACTAAGATTTAAATTAGTTTATATTGAAAATGACTTTTTGGTAAATAATCATTTTCACTATAATAGATATTCATCATGATATTAGTACATGATCATTAACATTATTACCTTAGATATAATTACCCTAGTTTTGTTTATAATCATTCACGTATTAATGAATGTTTACTGGTATTTAAACAAATGTTCATTATTTGAATTTAAATCCGTACATGTTCATTCTCATATTAAAAATATCCACATAGATGATAATAATACATGTTTAACTTCATACTCCCTCCATCCCCGAAAGAACGACCTTTTTGGGTTGATTTCACGGGTATTAAGAAAATAAAAAAGTTAGCAGTAAAAGTTATATTGGAAAGTGAAATTCACATAGGGTTTGCAAAAAAGTAAAGAGAGAGATGTAATAAAAAGTACGTACATGGAAAAACAAAATGGAAAAGCTAACTTTGTACAAGTATTGTTGCAAATTGGTGAATATTTTAATGCAAATGAGATGATCGTTTTGGGAATAGATTTAGGCAAAAAGGGTCGTTCTTTCGGGGACGAATAGAGTATTAAATTAATATATGCTCATGAGCGTCATTTGAATATATAATACTACATATATACATTTTAACTCTAATATTGATAGATGTTTATTTAAATTTGATACATAAATGTTCATTTGCATTTGGATATGTGTATATTCACACATATATTAATGTATGTTCATTTAAAAGTTAAAAAATAATGTTAAAAAATAAATCACATATTATTCATTCATCATAGACTTTTGATAATTCCATTTTAAAATATAATATATTGTTATGGTACTTCATCCACAATGTGTATATATATATATATATATATATATATATATATATATTGGTCATTTATGTACTAATAATAGATATCCATTTAGATTTTGATATATGTTCTTTTTTATATTAATACATGTTCTTTTAGATTTTATTCTTTTTCATTCTCATATTGAAATATTTTGATATCTTTATAGTGTGTTCATCTATGTATTCGTAATTGTTTTTCGTGTGTAAATGTTCAATTTTTAATTCTTATTCACGTACTTTTGTTTGGAATGCGTTGTTATTATTAAATTTATTTTAAAAAAAACTTGATCGATCTCTAATCAAGCGAGGAAGTAGAAGGCGACATATATATTGTGCTCAGATTATATTTTTCATGGAAGAAAACACACAAATATATGATTGGAAGTGCAACAGGGAGGATATTAAATTCATTTTATAGTGGAAATTATTATTAAACAACGTTTTATTTATAAAAAAAATAGAATTCTAATACGTACGTATTTGCATACACCTTACACTTACACATAGCTTTTGAAATGAACATGTGATGATATAAAATTGATCATTTGTTGAAACACGAATAAACAAAAATGAACCTTGGATGATGCAATACTTCTTATAATAAAAATGATTTGAACGCAACAATTATTATAAATAAATCTGCTCTCATTTTTATTTATAGATAATTCTTGAAATTCAATTCAAAGAGTATATTAATTTGAACAAAAAACTTCTTATGATAAAAATGAACATCTAATGATACATAAATGAACATTTACCAGTACAGAAATGAACATGTTATAAAAATTTGCAGGAAATTCATAAATTAAAAAGGGCGGGGTGGGACACGCGCGAAGGGTGAGAGGGTGCAGGTAGTGTTCCCTGCCGTGGGGTGTAGGTAAAAATTTGTAAAAGGTGAATAGTTGATTTTATTTGAGTGGATTGGATTAAAAAAATTGACGGCCCAATAAATAAATAAATAACAAAAAAAAAAAAACTCAAGCTGGACTTATATGGATCAGACATGAACCTTGACAATATTTGGAATCAAACTTTTTTCTTTTGTTTAACTCATAAAATGTCATTCTCCCTTTGTGTTTTAATAAGTGTTATACTTATTAATTGTGGTGATGATAAGTTTCTCACTTTCTTTCTTTTATAGTTTTTTAATACTGTAATTATTCCATTTACC